GAATTTCCGGTTCACATACCTCCTAGAAAAAATTTCTATGTCAACTTCATGGGCATAATTTGTCATAAACACGAAATGCAACTAGTTTTAAAAGAGAATATACATACCACATCCAAATCATAACAAGGACTAGGGCCGACGGGGGCGGATATCAAAACCATGGCACTATATGTATAACAAACAACGTACGGGTAAGATAATTATTCGAGTAACTATATATCCAAATCACACAAACATCAATTTTTATATAAAATTTCATGAACAAGAGGCTCACCACAAGGTGGTGCCGGCGACGGGACGGTGTGGGCGATCGACGGTGGCTACGATGGAGATTTAGAAGGCACTAAGTAAACCACACCTACATATGCAAACTAAGTGTTATTTTTGACCTCAAATTGCATATAAATCAAATACTAGCACATATATATATCCTCCCAAATTACTAAACTCATAAATTAATCACTATATAAACCAATGCAAGAGCTAATCTAGCAATGAGAAATGAAAGGACAAAGTTGCTAACCTTTGTGATCATTTGAATGGATGAGGGCCTTCAAATCTTGACAAATTTTGGGCAAATTTTGTGATGAACTCGAGAGGAAGAAGGGAAGAACAGAGGAGAGGGAGAGGGGAAAGGGGGAAGAACAGAGTGCTGGTGGACGAAGGGTTTATATAGGACGACCTTTAGTACCGGTTCGTGACACGAACCGGTACTAAAGGTGCTGGAGGGGCCTCACTCTGACAACATACTGCCTCCACTTTCATTAGTACCGGTTCGTGGCACGAACCGGTGCTAAAGGTTCGCCACGAACCGGTACTAATGAAAGCGGCCCGGCTAGCCGTTGGAACCGGCACTAATGTGCTTCACGTTTGACCCTTTTTCTACTAGTGATAATAGATTTTCTGGAGAAATTGCCAAAGTGTTCGTCCAACAGATTGCAAGAATTGACGTTGAAGATCAACAATATGGTTGGAAAGCTGACGAATAGGATGGGACAATTAAACAACTTACCTATGATTGACCTTTCTTACAATAACATTACAGGAGCAATACCGCTAGGCATTGATAAGTGCTCTTATTTATGGCACTTTGACCTTTCTTACAACCATCTTACTGGAGCTATACCATCATGGTTGGGGAACTGCACTAGATTGCTCACTAGAGCTATACCCACGGGGTTGGGGAATTGCACTAGTTTAGAGCAACTTTATCTTTCAAGTAACCATCTTACTGGGCACGTGTCATCCATGATTGGTATGCTCAGTCATTTGTGCGATCTCGACCTTAGCAACAATAATCTTGATGGCATGATCACAGAAGGACACGTGTTAGCTCTAAAGAACTTAGAGTACATGGATTTATCACACAACTCTTTCTCAGGACCTCTACCATTACGTTTTGGATCTCGATGGTTACGAGAACTGACTTTGTCTTTCAATTACTTCAACGTCCATATTCCTAAATATATTTGTTAGTTAAAGTTCCTATTTGTGTTGGAACTATCATACAACTTTCTAGACGGAGAACTCCCTCAATGTTCTCATGCGCCTAGCTTGGTTTTCCTTCTCTTGAGTAACAACAACTTTTCCGGCAAGCTTCCATCATCACTCCGAAACTACTCGAGATTGAATTTCATAGATCTTTCAAGGAATAATTTCTATGGTACACTGCCGTCGTGGATTGGAGACTTGGTAAATTTAAGATATCTGCAACTAAGCCACAACTTGCTGCATGGAGATATTCTACCGAATACCACCAATCTATATTGCCTTCGTCATTTGAATTTAGCCAGAAATAGTATATCTGGAGTTATACCATCCTCTTTGTCAAAATTAACTGCTATGACACAAGCAAACTCAAAGAAACATGGGACCGACAAGTCTTGTAGGTCCAACAACTACGGAGGTATGACAAAAGAAGTTTGGCTTGTTGTAATGAAGCGCCAAGAACTTAAGTATGGCATTGGATTTTTTGATGTGCTTAGTATTGACCTATCGCTCAACAAATTAGTTGGTGGAATTCCAAACGAGTTAACTTCTCTTAATGGACTGTTGAATTTAAACTTATCATGGAATCACTTGGCTGGTCAAATTCCTTCAAGGATTGGGGCTATGGAGTCAATTGAGTCACTGGACCTCTCAAGGAACAACTTTTGTGATGAGATCCCGACAAGCTTGTCAAATTTGACATATTTAAGTTCATTGGACTTGTCATATAACAAGCTTGCTGGAAGAATTCCCCCAGGCAGTCAACTTGACACAATCTACTCCGAGAACCCGTCCATATATACTGGTAACATTGGCCTGTGTGGCCCTCCTCTCGAAAGGAATTTCTCAGGAAACAATGGCGTTGAGCATGTCAATCAACAAAACAGTGAGAAGGTCTACGACCCGGTGTTATTCTTTTACTTTGGACTTGGGTCTGGGTTTGTGGTTGGCCTCTGGGTCGTATTTTGCACTCTACTATTCAACAAAGCATGGAGAGTTGCCTATTTTCGACTCTTCGACAAGTTGTATGACAATGCATATGTGTTTGTGGTTGTTACTTGGGGCATGATAAATGATGAGGAAACTACAGGTTGAGCACTCTTAGATGACAAGCAGATGGTGTTGTCATCATAGTATGTAGTGGGCTCTATGAATAAGTGATGTTGACCATGTATTTTCTTAGTAGTTGGCACTAGTAGGTGCTTTTTTTTATCCTCTAATAGTTCATGTAATTGATTGTTCTTGGTTTGTACACTGAATAAGACCCAACAGATACAACAAAATAATCATCCATCACTTTTTGGTGTTTGCATGTACTCCCTCCATCCCAAGATAAGTGACTCGACTTTGTACTGATTTTAGTACAAAGTTGAGTCGCTTATTTTGGGACAGGGGGAGTAGTTAGGATATCCCAAAGAAGACTATACATCTCTTTTTGTGTAAGAATTTTCAAATGAAGCACGAGCACAACAATTTTCCATCGGTTTGCAAACGAACTGCACAACGTTTTGTGTGCAATCATTTTGTTTGTGGCCCATGCCTTCTTGCACGAGGGCCATCATCAGGGCCGGTCCAGTGATTTCAGGGGCCCGGGGCAAACCCAAACCTTGGGGCCCCTAGTATAAATGTCATATAACAACAATAAGCAAAATCTATGTATACAATGTTACCGGTAATTTTTTTTATCACTGATGTATATACATGTTCTTCGAAGCACCAATGATCCACATGTTGTTCCCTTCCCTTTATTTTTTTTCTACCAGAAGCATACTTTGTAGATGACATGATGACAGATGACAGAAGCGCTAGGATTTTTGTGCATCGAAAGGTTGCACAGTCTTGTAAATTACTACTCCCTCTGTCACTATTCACTAAGTATGTACTGTTTTTCATAGACAAAATCAAGGCTGCTTAGCCTGTTACCACGAGGCTATGTATTGGGCCAGGGTCACGGGCTAGCTGCTGCATAGGGCATACCACCTGGCGCGGGCCTTGGATTTCGAGAGCCGGGGCGGCCGGCCCCCCCTCCCCCTCGCAGGACTGGCCCTGGCCATCATGTACCAACAATGTTGTCATGCCTTAAAAATTGGGAAAAGCTTCCAAACAACCGACTGATTTTACATATGCGCCCATCACGCGCTGTGCCGTGCGATGACACTGATCACATCTTTTATGTTGGGCAGTGCAGGTAGGAATTTGGATTGCAGCGTTGTCAGAAAGTTTTTCTATGGCATCACATATGTTTCAAAAGTTCTTTCCGCAACAATACCTATGTTGCAAAAGTGAAGACTACAAGCAGAAATTTTGCAACATCACTTATGTTGCAAAAAAAAATCTACAACAAAACTCTATTGCAAAAAAAATTCTGCAACAAGACGTCTATTGCAAAAAAAAAACTGCAACAAGGCATGTGTTGCAAAAAAATACGCAACACAACTGATGTTGCAAATGCTTCTGCAACAAGATCTCTGTTGCGAAATAGGGAAATACGTTCACCCATTAGATTGCGTTAGGTTCGACGGCTTTTAAAAAATCCGCCGACCGATGCGTAGCAGCCCCCTCCTAATATTTTTGTTCTCAAAGTCATAATTGCTTAAACTCTCAAACTTTTTGCAAATTCGGAAACATCTGTTCGATTTCACAGATTTTTTTTTCAAGTTTGCAAACAATTTCAGAACTCCTGGGAATTTTCAAGCCCACAAGCCTTTTAAAGTCCATGAATATTTTTTTTGTTTCTCCAATTTTCCCCAAAATCAACAGAAAAGGCCTGCCAATTTCGCACGAAACAAACAGAAAATGCCATCCGGATTTTTTATTTTTTTCCAAATGGATCACTTGTATTCCATCTAAGGCACGGCAGAATCGCCGGTTACAACACGGGTTACATCAACAGGGAAATTATGAACCCAGAAACAGCAAATGCCATCCGGATTTTCCTTGGACGGATGGCGCAGCAAAAGACGAGCGAGAAACATTAGGAGGAGGATTACTGGGCCGAGCGAGCGGGATTACTGGGCCGATGCAATTTTCTTTCCGAGTTAGGCCCATTAGGAGGAGGAGCTCCCGACTTGGCCCATCTCGTATCATAACACTGAATCTCTCTGTAGCTGAATCGGCGTCCCCCTCACCCCTAACCGGCGGCGGCGGCGCTCATCCCTAACCGGCGGCCACCGGCGACGCCCCGACGGCCGGTTCCCCACCTCAACCCCCGTCCACCGTCTTCACCCCGGCGGCCGTCCATCTCTCCCGCCGCGGCCGATAGGTATGTGGAGCACAACGCGGCCTCCAAGCCCTAATAATCCCACAAATTGCCGTCCTAAAATCTCCCCTGCAGCTGCAGGTCCGCCACCGCTGTGCCGCCGCGCCGCAGCTCCGCGTCGCCGCCGACGGCTCATTCCCTCCGCGCCTCGCGCACGTGGCCGCCGTCGCCCGTCCCCGTTCCGCCCCGCCGCGCCCCTGCCGCCTCCGCCCCGGCCATCTAGATCCGCCGCCCCTGTCTGGCCTCGGACCGGATGGACCTCTCCGTCACGCTGGCCCTGAGCTCCCCCACGGAGGTACGGCCGGCCGGAAACCTACCTGCCTCCCGCTATTCAACACCGCGTGTTGCTGCATTCACCGTGTCTAATCTTGCTGAATTAATGCATCATGAACTTCAAATTTCACGATTCTTCATATTTTGCAGCACGGGGAGCAGCTGAGGAGGCGCCAGCACTCATTATCAGAGCTGGTATACTATCATTTTCATATATGGTTTGGTTTTGTAAATCTTCGTTGTATATGTTTTGGCTGGTGTTAATTGCCTTGTCTTTCCACAAACTGCAGACTTATGCAAGAGATGAAGACGCAACAAAACTTGAGACCACGCGTGCACGGCGTAATAACCTTTCTCTCCAGTAGTTGTAGTAACTATTAATATCTCTACTCTCAAGGAACCTTGTACCCCTTCCCCACATGTTATCGATTGTACGAAGCATCTTGCCCTACTATCTTACCCATAGTTGCCCTTTTATTTTTGCAGTGTTAAATGTTCTCAAAAGGCATGAAGATCTGAAAGAGCGCCTCTCGCGGTACTCCTTTCTCTGCTCTTTTTTTTTTCTGTCCAAGCGTTTGGATACTAATAGCTTGTCGGATGTCGACTCAGTTGGCCAACTGAGTATTTATCGATTTACGATAAATACTGTACAGATTCCTTAGCATGTGACATTTTGCATAATCAAAATTTCAACAACTCTGTTCAAACTGCTAGCTGATTGCTTGCACACTTATGATTCCTCTTTTATGATACTTGATCAGAGCATTAAGCCTGTCAACAGTTTCCAATGTGGGAAACTGCGACGTCATCCTTGTGTAGCTTTCATTTAAACTAGAACAGTTACAATTTCCTCGGCCCTTTTCGTTGGCAAAATTTCATGCTCCCAATATCTTTGCAACTGCATCGAATTCTCTGAATGATCCTTACTGTTTAACTTCCTATGGATGTGCTCAACTTGAAGCAAATAATAGTGGTCGAAAAATGATACATGCAAAAGAAAGGGGGGAGGAGCTCAAGTTTATCTAAATTCGACATGTGCAAATGCATTTTTTCATTTTTCTGAACGATAGTACCATTATCGCGATACTAAAGAGATTATGTTTCGAAGAAGTTAAAGTGAAGTTACGATCTAAAAGTACCAAAAGGTTAAGGAAGGACAGTACTGCTGATTGCTAAGTTCCATAATGAGCCTGTTTTCTAATGCAATATTCATGCGCATCTGCTGCAAAATTGCAGAATAATGATTCTACCAGATTTTTAAAAACACATATATTCTATATAAGCAATGAAATGTGTTTTCAGATATGTTAGTCTGCAAGTTTAAAAACACATATATTCTATCATCTTATCCCTAGCATATTCGGGTCATATCTGAGATGATTTTTCCTGAAGTATAGTGGCATTTCTGTTAGA